GCCTTCTTTTGCTTTTTTACAAGATTAATTACGAAAGTAATCAATGTAATATACAGCTTTTCTTTGCAATTTGTATTTAATTGAATCAAATATTGTTTCAAGGATATAAAAAGAGAAACAGCAAAATGAAAAATTTCTTGAACTTTCCTTCTTGTGCTTTTTTACAAGATTGATTACAAAAGTAATTAATGTAATTATACAGCTTTACTTTGAAATTTGTATTTAATTGAATAAAATATCTCGATTTTATGAAATAGTTGAGGTTTTCTGCCGCGATTATCAAAGTGTTAGTATGAACATATAGTAATGCTAGAATAAAAAAACACCGACTCAACTATTTTATTTCTAACCTTTTTGCCACGATTCGAAGGCAATTCAGAGATTACGTGCCACGATTCGAAGGCAATTCGGAGATCACGTGCCACGATTCGACGGTCAGACAGTATATGTTCGACAGCTTTTTAACCTTGACATAACCTTAACTTCGTCAATCCTTATCATCGGCGTAGCAATAAATAACATAGGCGCAGGACCAGCGCAAGATATCACAGGAAAATTCACAGCAACCCGAAATTTGCCATTTCAGGGAGAAATTGCTGCATTTAGAACGCGAGTTTCGCGTCGCTCGCGGTTCGAAGGTTTAAATTGTTCTTCCGGTTATCAATTGTTCGCCGTCGTCCATAATTTGTCCTAAAGCAATCGGAAAAATAAAAGAACTTGAAACTGCAAAACACAATTATTTGTATAAGTAAGAAAATAAATTGCTGTTCAACCTCGGTCCTGTTGCGATTCCTTTAAAAAAATAACGCTGCAGATCGGATACGCTCAAAGCGATAAAACTACGGAGATTCTCGCGATAAATCATTTTCAAACTCGACGCTGAATCTGTGTGAACAGAAGGAACGAAACTACGATACATATCGAAAACAAATCGTAAAGGGTCGCGCTCGTATCGCGGAACTCCGACGGACGGATTTGTCTAGAAAAGGTTTATCTAGAAAAATCCGACGGTTCCGCGGGGATTTCGAAAAACAGATCGGTCGATCAATAAATGCTGCAATCCTCTCGGAGCTCCCTTTGATCCAAGAAAACGCGCGACCCTCCGAATACAACCGGCCGGAAATCATCTCGCTAAAACGACCAGAACTGCATGCGCCCGAGCTCGTTTATAAAGCCGAACGCGCAAATACGATTTGCCTCCATCGCTGCAATTTCGTGTGCATCGGCCTGATAAATACGGTGGGGAGGGGGCGAAGAGAGGGGAGTAAGTAAAACTGGAATAACGGCGAAGCCGCGATATCGCGATGGGCGATAAACCGCGGAATCTTTCATCGACGAGAGTGTCGTCGAGCGAGCAGATATTTTCCGGCAAAGATTCGAAGAAGGCGTGGCGCGCCGGGAGCTGGAACAGCCATCGCGAGTGATTATGCGAATGGAAGCTGTCGTAAGTGTGCCGCGATTGAACCTCGCAAAAAAGAACCGAGTCCGCGTTTTTTCGGATCCAGAGCTCGAAGTCTGCGTAGATCGTTTGACACTCGATGCTTGAAAGAATCAGCAAACAAAGCAAAATCACAGATTTTTTGAAAGAGGTTACGTCAAGGTTATAAGTGCAATGATTGAGTGAAAAAATCTGAACGAAGAAAAAGGTTCAGAAAGCGAAGGTGATATCGATTAACTGAAAAAATGTTCTCGTTTGATTGTATCGAGCAGTGACGAGGCAGAAATTTATTAAATTGTAAGGTTACATTGAATGAAAATAATATTTTTTGTTTCTTTTTTCGTTTTGTGTTATACATATATTTATATTTTTAACCCTTTGCACTCGAGTGGTGAGTCTGAGACGCCACTGAAATTATTATTGTTCGAATATCATTTTTAGATTATCGAAGTTTAGACTATAAATATTATTAAAAGCATAATTATTGTATAAATCAGGATACTCAATTGCGTATGCATAAAATGCACTTTGTCCTATAAAATGGTGTTACTGTAAGTCAGAAAAATTATTTTAGATGAACTATTGTAAGTCAGAAAAATTATTTTAAATTAGCTACTCTAAGTCAGAAAAATTATTCTAGATTTACCGTTAAAATGGCTTCGAGTGTAAAGGGTTAATAAAAATTAAGTTACTTATATAGATTTAGAAAAGATGTTTATTTTTACGGCAAGATAACAGTAATAATAATAACGATACAAAAAGCAACAAAATGCTAGTACAAAATGTTTGTATGTACATACAAGGTCATGGGTCCGTCCGGACCCGAACGTAGGGCCGCGGGTACTGCGAGGGTTAAGAAGCGGCCGCGTAACCCTAGCAATAATTCACCTCGACTGCCTCTGGGGCACTCCGCCCAAACATTGTTAACGATGGAAAAAGGCATTTGCATTTAGATCCCGGAGAATCTAGGAGCTGCGGGTCGCTGAGGAACTTCCACGGCATTCCCCCTGTTACGAGGCCATCCCCGTATTTAATAACCGGACCGGAACGATCGTCGCTTTCGCGAGCCCCGCGGAATGCTATCTCGATCATTGCCTCTCGATCCATTGCAGCTTTACGCAAAAATAATTTACGATCGCCGATCGCCGTTTTACTTTAAAGACCGCGGTTGTAATCTCAAAGACGGCGCGATTTGCATACTACTCCCCTTCTGCCTTATCTGTCTCGCCGACTTGACACAGTTTTCGGGGTACCATTCGCTCGTTTTACCTTGGGCGTACGAAAAAAAAGCAATTTGCAAGCTTGTAGGGCAGGGGTGTCAAACTCGCGGCCCGAGATGAATGTTTTCGATGTCAAGTATCAGGACGTAAACAATAATTTAACTTTATATATGTTTATTAATATATTATATATAATATATTATAAATTAATATATTATTATATTAATTTAATAATTTATTATTATAATTTATATAATTTATATTTAATTATTTATATAATTTATTATTATATTAATTTAATAATAATATATATTAATATATATATTATATTATATTAATATATTATATATATAATATTATATTATATTATTAATATATATAATATTATATTATATTATTAATATATATATATAATATTATATTAATATATAATCATTTTAAAATAAAAATATTTGTTTCTATGAACATTGATTTTTTTTTGCGGCCCACCTAAAGTGAAGCATTGTTTATTTGGCTCAAGTTAGCTTTTGAGTTTGACACCCTTGTTGTAGGGCCAGGTACAGCTCAGGGAAGCGAAGGACAGCTGTAGGAACGCGTAACATGGGATCGGAAAAATAAGAGTAAACGAAGAGAGTAAAAAGAAAGAAGTTTGATGAAAGGTAATCTGATTAATGCTTGACGATTTTAACGCGTTAATTTATTACAACTGATTTATAATAATTCAACACGGTTATAAATCGTTAGGTAGTTTAAATTATTATAAATTAGTTCTGATAGCCAAGGGGTTATAATTGTTAATTATCGTACAGATTACGTTTCGCCGAACTTCGCAGGCGCGAAGGTGAAAAGGCTGCGTGAAAGTCCAGTTTCGCGGTTCGACCCTCGATATTCATCATCAAAAAAGGAATTTGCAAGGTTGAACACCGAAGGACATTTCGTGTACAACCTGTAAAAATGCGTAATAAAAGGTGGAAAAAATAGTGACCTCTGAGAGAAACGATGAAAAGGCTGCAAGAGGCATCGTCTCGAGGTTTCGCGGGCGAATTTGACCCTCGGTTTTCGTTATCGAAGAAAGAATCTGCGAAGTTGAAGAACGAAAGACGAATTTGAGATGTCAATGACGGATTCAACCTGTAAAAATGCGTGATAAAATATGGTAAAAATGATGAACTTTCAGAGAAAGGGTGAAAAGACCTGGGCGATGTACCGACGACTGGTTTCGCGGTCTAATTTGACCCTTGCTTTTCGTTATCAAGGAAAGAATCTGGTAAGTTCAAGAACAAAGAATAAATTTTGAAGGTTAATGACAGATTCAACCTGTAAAAATGCGTGACAAAAAATGGCAAAAGTAATGAACTTTGAGAGAAAGGGTGAAAAGATAGTGCGACGTCTCGACAAGTTTAATTTAAACTTCGATTTTCGGTATCGAGAAAAAAATCTGCAAAATTAAAGAACAAAACACAAGTTTGAGAAGTCAATGACAGATTCATCCAGTAAAAATGCGTAATAAAGAATGATAAAAATAATTAACTTCGAAAGAAACTGTAAAAAGGCAGCGCGGCGTATCAACGACCGGTTTCGCAGTCTAATTTAACTCTCATTTTTCATTGTCAAGAATAAAAATCTGCAAAGTTGAAGGACAAAGTACAAATTTGAGAGATCGAACAGATTCAACCCATAAAAATGCTCATCAGAAAATGTTAAAAATAACGAACTTCGAGAAAAACGCTGAAGAAAACAGCGCGGCGTATCAACGATCAATTTCGCAGTCCAATTCGAACCTCGCTTTTCATTATCAAGAATAAAAATCTGCAAAATTAAAAAACAAAACACAAATTTGAGAAATAAATCACAGATTCTTCCTACAAAATTGCTTATCAAAAAATTCCAAAAATAACAAACTTCGATAACGAAACAGTGAAAAGGCAGCGCGGCGCGTCGGAGCCTGTTCGATGATCCGATTTGACCCTCGGCTTCCGTTCCCAGAAAGGACTCCGCAAAGTCGAAGGACAAAGGACGGGTCCGGTAAGTGAAGGAAGGTCGGACGTAGACAATAGTAACTCTCGCGGAAAAATGTTAAAGCGGCGAATCGTCAAAGAGGACGGCGAGAAGGTAAGCGCGAGGTGTCGGTTTCGCAAACGCGGAGAGAGGATCGCCGAGGGATCCGCGGCGGGTTTGGTCGGCAGCCGGCTGGCAAAAGGCAAAAGGCAAGGCAAGGCACGGCAAGGCACGGCGGCGACAGTAGGTTGGTTTGGGGGCCCGAAGAAGGAAACATATTTGCCACGGCGCGGTGGCGTTCATCGCCAAGAGAAAGGGGGACCGGTGTCCATGGGTGAACGCTACCGCTAAGTCGATTCGCTTCATTCAGTGCGTGATCCTTAGCCTCGCGTGCGCGTTCGCATTTGTCCTCCGTGAAAGGGGACCACCTCGATCTTTGCCTCGATCGGCGTGACACCCTCTCTTCGAACCGTTATCGAACCGTCCGCGAGCGTCGCGAGAACACACAGAGTCCGATAACGCGATCGATCAGCGATCGACCGATCCAAGATCGAACGGTCGACGAGATTCTCGAGCTTCGCTTCGAAATTACGTTTACATATACATATATACATATATACATATATACATATATACATATATACATATATACATAGTCCCTGTATCGAGTGATATACCCGAGTTTAACTCGTAAATAATCGCCGCGATCGCTGGCAACGGCGGCCAGCGAAAAAAGAAAGTGAGCCTCATTCCGCAGTCGTAAACAGAGAGCCCGGGCGGCGAGCATGCCGATCTCTCCGGACTGCTGAGAGGAGATCGAAAGGAGGTCCGCGACAAGTCGCAGTCGCAGCAGAAGAATGACGTCCGGACGTCTCGGCGGTGACCGATGAAGCGGACGAATTTCGCGGAGCGAGCTGAACGAGCAGAACGCGGATCGACGCCGAGGTTGAATTCGTTTCCAGAGGAACATGACGTTCTATCGGGCCTGCCTGGTGTTCGCGGTGCTATGCACGACGCTGGCGAACGTACCGAGGAACGAGTCGAACATCCTGAGGCTGGGGAAGTCGCGGGCCAGGTCGTCGGTCACGGATGTCCCGGCGAAATCGAACGGGACCGGGATCGAGCGGGACGCGGTTAAGGACCGCGGCCGGCTGATCGGCTTCGGCAAGAACAATCCCGAGCTGGACTGGCGGAATCAGCTGAGGATGTTCGATCGGAAAGAGGAGGCGGCGGTGGCCAGCAGGGAGAATCTCGACGTTGATTTCATGAGGGAGAGGCCGCAGAGGACGGCCAACAGCATCCAATGGCTGGCCGACCTTTACGACCCGCTCAAGTGGGCCAGGGTGCCCGGGAAACCCGCGCCGGAGTGCAGGGGGGACATGGAGCTCTTCGTCGAGTCCCTCAGGGCTGGGAAACTGTGGGCCGCCAAGAGTGAGTACAGAGCGAACGGGTTATTTAAACGCGTAACGCGTCAATCGCTCGTCGACGATGTTGCGAACTTTCTGGCTCCTTGAACCAGCGGAATGCGCTTTCTGACTTGGGTCACGTGGTCGTCTTGTCGTACAAATATGCCGACAGTGGATCCACCGAGCCGAAATCAGTGGGCTTTTTGCTTTAACCCTTTGCACTCGGATGTCGCCGATTCAGCGACACAATATGTTCATAGCGGCGTCTCTTTTTAATTATTGTTCTCCTTCGTGCTGCAAGGTAATCGCGTAAAACGCATAAAGGTAATCGTGTAAAATGCATAAAAGTAATCGCGTAAAATGCTTTAACCCTTTGCAATCGGATGTCGCCGATTCAGCGACACAATATGTTCATAGCGGCGTCTCTTTTTAATTATTGTTCTCCTTCGTGCTGCAAGGTAATCGCGTAAAACGCATAAAGGTAATCGTGTAAAATGCATAAAAGTAATCGCGTAAAATGCTTTAACCCTTTGCAATCGGATGTCGCCGATTCAGCGACACAATATGTTCATAGCGGCGTCTCTTTTTAATTATTGTTCTCCCTCGTGCTGTAAGGTAATCGCGTAAAATGCATAATTCTTTAATTATTATATCATTACGAAATCAATTATCTTCGTCAGTTCCTATAAAATCTTCGAGCAGCGTAATGATTTTTCTTTCAATTCGACCTCTGTTCTCGAGATCTTTCAATTCGACTCATAATCTGTTTCGAGTGCAAAGGTCGAAGTTGCAAGAAGTCGAAGTTGCTAAAATCGTAAAGAAGCTTTCGTGGAAAACGAACGAATCGATTTCTTAATTCATGCGTTGTAATCGAAATGGCGCAAGGTCTGAGTAAATACCGTCTTCTCAGCGATAGAATAGCAACGCACGTTAATCACTTTTCAGAGCTCGATAGGAATCGATTAGCGACATACACTCCCCCGCCAAAAGTATTAGGACAACCGACGATTTAGGGTGAAAACTGTAATTTTGCAGTCGGGTTAGGTAATGTTTTATGTTTAGTATCAAGTTTTTTGTCAGTCGTGCGATTTAGTTAGTTTAGCATTGCACTTTGTTCCGTGAAAACGTATGCTGAGTTCGTTTAATTAAAACGGATGCCGTAATTAGGTCCATGAAGTAATTGAAAACGCGGCGGATATCTCGTCGAAAAGGAAATATAGTTTTCTTTTATATAATTGTCGTTATTTTTATTTTAATGTAATATTACGATAATTTACAATGTAATATTACATTATATTTCACAATATAATGCAATTATATATGATGTAATAAATAACATAATACATAATATAGTACAATACATACATATATATAAAACAATTGTATATAATAATACATAATACATAACATAATACAATATATACATATATATAAAACAATTATATATAATAATACATAATACAATACAATATATACATATATATATATAACACAATTAACTTTGAAATAAATTGAACAAATTGCAACAATTTCCCATCGATTTCTCGAATTTATCGAATTTTCTGTAAAGGTCCTAACACTTACTTTTGGAGGGGATTGCGTTCGCATGATAGAGACACTCGCACCCATTTTCTAGCATCGACCACTTTTTAATGATCTTAAGTATATTTCTTGTTAGGCGTCTCATATACGATGGAATCTCGTTGATCGGTTTCATGCGAACGACACGGCTAATAGAAGCGTGCTCGGCTAATGGAACAGTCGCTTATGACGAGAATTTGCAAAAGAAACCGCAGTTCGTTAATCAGGAAATCGCGAGTCCCAGCGTGTCCTTTCTTCCTGCTCCGGTGAAACGTACTGTTACGGGATCATAATAGCGACATTTATAGCAACGTAACCGGACTGGGTCGTGTGTCGGCGTATCAGAAGCTGGAGCGTGGCACGCGTATTCAGCGCCTGATGCGTGCTCCGGAACACCTTGATGGTTTTAAGGTGCGTTCGCACCGTGGCCGAGCTGCGGAATTCTCTCTCAGAGTTCGCAGAATGTCAGAAATTAATTTGAGAACATTTCGTCCGCAATAGTTAAACAGTGACAGTTCGCGTTCAGCTGTTTCACCTTCTGATCATGCTTGAAGGCTCGCGAAGGGTGGTTATCACCCTCTACAATTGAACTCCCATTCGGAATCTATCTTCGAAACACGGAGAACGAAAGTATTGTCCTTATCTTCGTCAAATTGATGTTATAATCCTCGTAGGAAAAGTTGAAAAATTTAGAAAAAGAGATTATATTTAGGAAAAAATTAT